GCGGGACTCGGTCCCAGGAACCTGGGATCATGACCTGAGCCAAAGGCAGACGCTTAATCGACTGAGCCACCCAGGCACCCCTGGGAAAACACTTTATGAAAAACTCACTTCTCACTTGGCCCCTTGAAGGGAAAAGAAATGGTTCCAACTGGCATTAATGCTTCTGAATTAAGCTCTAAGCTACCAACTGCCCCGCCCCCCTCCCCAGGCAATGGCCAGGTTTTCCACAGTGTGTTTGGGTCACAGCATGTGGCAATCTGTTCACTGAACAGACACCAAGAATATCCATCCATCATCTCTTCCTCCTTGAAGCCCTCCCACCTGGGATGCAGACTGCCTGTTCTCCTACCTCTCCAGATGTCTACCTTCGCTGTACATGTCGCAGGACACACAGCAAATGCCCGATTAAGGGCAGGTGATCACAGGGCCCTTCCTCATGCATCGGGGCCCACATTCAATGTCGCTTCCTCTGAGAAGCCCTCGGGCCTCACCAAGGCAGGAAGTATTTTTCTCTCCTCCTCCTTTATCATTTGGTTCTCGGTTCCCCTGGGGTATTGGTGACCCTCTGGGGTCCTCCCCAGGGTACTACAGGCTTCCGGCCAGGTCCCCACTCCACTCTGAGCTCCTCTTTGAGGGCAGGCATCATGTCTTCCTTAGCCTTACCGTCCTGCCAAGTCTCTCACACTTGATAAATGTTCACTGGCAAAATGGCTCATTAAAGTTGAGAGAGGTCAGAGAATTCCGTACGTCAAGGGAGCGGGCAGGAAAATCTTATGCTAGGAAGCATGCTGGAGCCCCAGATTCTTTGAAATTTACAGATGAACATCAATTAACTTTTCCCTCAAAGTGAGGTCAAAGAGTACTTATTTGTGTCATAAGGTCAACAACGTAATAAAAATCTATAAGATTTTGTTAAACTAGGAGAAAAAAATTACAATGAATAGAACGTGAAGGGAATCTGAAAAACAACAGAAAATAAAGCAGTATTTGTTGAAAAGAAAAGAAAGGAAAAGAAAAGAAAAAAGGGAAGGCTATATCCCGAAGTGTCTTCCTATCCCTGGTAAATGTTTATGCCCTCATGTGTACTCAGTGCCTGGCAACAGCAGGAGAAGAGAATCTGAAGGCTGGCTGGCCTCGGTGCGGCCAATGAGCCCTCCGAGGGGGTGCACGCTTGCAGACATGTTCCTCGGGGAGGTGCAGATGCCGGGGCCTGCCCACCCGCCTCTAGCTTACCTGGCTCCAGCTCAGACACGTGGCACTCCTCCACGGCTCCGGAGGGGCTGTGCACCTTTGCATCAATCTTGCCTTTTGCCCCATTCAACCTTATAGCAAAGGAGGCTGGCTGGTTAACTTTTAATCCCGATTCCTGGGAATTTAATACATTAAACAGGTTACGGCCCTTGGTGTTCCTGCTCAGTGGCACACACTGACCCGACCCGGGACTCCAGGGGACGGTTCTCATGCAAAAAGGCCCAGAATGTTTATCCATATAACATCTGACAATAGAAGAACAGGTGCCTTCTTCCACACTTCTAGCTTTAAATATGACAGCAGAGACACACGTCGGCAGCGTCTAGCACCTTGGTTCGGGCTGGAAGAGATGGTTACTGGATTTGGAGACTTAAGACTATCCTGCCCAACAGAACTATAATTTCCATATCTCAAACAAGACCTGGACAGCCAGAAAACCCAGTGTCTTCCAGGTCAAAAAGAAAGGGCCCTCTTTTGAGAGGAGCCTGGCAACTGACAAAACCATGTACTCACCAACATGAATAACGTTTTGTATCATTGCTATTTTTTATCTCAAGGGTAGGAATGGAGATGACTTTTAATAAACTCGTAAACGACTATACACGGTTAAGAATCAGCAGGACCTGGGGTGACTACCATTTCCTATGTGTAAGTAAGTTGTTCAACCTTTGAGTCTCAGTCTCCTCATCTATAAAATGGGCACAATTACCGAATCTACACCAGAGAGCTATTGAATAAGGATGAAATGAAGTGATGCATTCCAAGTACTCAGCGCAGGGCCTGGTCCATACACAGAGAAGCTCACAAAGGTCAGCTTATCGTTAAATATTAATATGCATTTAGAAGTTGTCTGCACCGCACTCCCAGCCCCCACCCACCCCCAACAAAAAGAAACACAACAAAAAGAAGGCTACCTTTCACTATTCACTGGATCAGTTTCACCCTCCACACTCTGTCCTGCAAACTACAGCCTCTCCCAGGAGGAGGGGATTAGAGGTTTAGATGCTTAAGATATTTTAAAATTGGCCAGTCCTGAACCACAAAATTTTACAAGTTAGCAGTTTTGCGGTAAACTTGATCGGACAGCCACTCCTCAGATGATACCTCAATGTGCAATCGAAGGACGTAGGGGGTCTTGTTAAAATGCAGATTCCGATCCAGTGGGTCAGAGGGCGGGGGGTGGTGGTGCGGGGAGCCTGGAATTCTAGTAAATTCCCAGGCAATGCTGAGGCTGCTAGTCCCAGGCCCACATCTCAGTAGCAAGGTACTAAAGCTGCACCGCCTAATTGGTAGTCACACAGGGGACTATATTTTTTAAAATTTAAACCAATTAAATTAAATAAAATTAAAGATTTGGTTCCTCAGGTACACTAGCAACATTTCAAGGGCTCAATTGCCACAGGTGGCCAGTGGCTACCATACTGCACAGAGGAGATATGAGACATTTCCATTGTTGTAGAACATTCTATTCCACTGTGCTGCACTAGAGGTTACAGACTGGGGCGAAAGGACTGCACACAAAATTCAGGAATCTCTGACTGCCAGCTCGCACCCCCTCCCAACATCCCCTCCTCCACAAAATGCCAGCCGACTTCAATTTTCTAAAAAGTCTTAAAAGCAAGACAAAACAATATATGCCTCTCTATTCCTAACCAGCACCAGATGTTGGCGTGCAGGCCTCCAGCAAACTGCCGATAAGTAATTTACATATCACTCGACACCAAGCGACCCGGGAAAAAATGGGACAAAGAGACACAGCCTGCTGCACACTTATTCAAGTATTTACGACCCAACGGTGACAGAGGACTCTACAGAAAAGTCTCCCGGAGAGGATTTCTCCAAACCAGGTTTCTGGGGGACAGAACCATTTACATTACCTGAATCCGCTTGCCGCTAAATCCTCAAGAGGGAGATAAACACCTCAGAAGATCTGAAAGAAATCTTCGAGATGCATGAAGGCAGCTCTTTGCCCTCAACAAATGCCGGGTTTATCTCCCTCCACAGGTTTTAGTTAAGTCGGCCACAAAAGGAACTTCTGTTAAGAAGCCTTTAAATGAAACACAAGAAAAACATCTACACCACAGCGACCAGTTAGCACCCTTGGGACTCTCCAGGTGAGGCCTCTTCAATCTGCTGATGGCGGTTCTGCTTTGGGTTCTGTCTGGGTTCCCTGATGTTTGGAACAACCAGCAGTACCAATTCTCCTCAGGGAAAGGTTAGAATCTCAAGTGTAAACCAAGTGCATGGAATTAGAGCCAATGAGAGCACCAACGTGAGATACAGGATTGGGTTTCATTCATTATTTTCAAGAATGGGGGCCGGGGCTGGGTGCAGCTGAAGGCTACTGAGAAATCCCATTTATCAGAAATCAGATTTGGGGATTCTGGTGTGATTTTGCAACTGAATCGCTACTCCTGATTTCAGACACTGAATTACTTTTCAGTGTCCCGGGCAAAGACACAAAGGCATCCCTAGTGGTCTTAGTTTGGCTGCAGGCTCTAATGCAACCTTGAATTCGATAGCCTGTTGAGGACAGGAGAAAAGTTGCACTTCCTGGCATCTCAACAGACTGGACTGTGTAGCCACTTGGCCTAGTGCAGGGGCAGGGATTCAGGAAGCCACGGTTAAGACCACGGGTTCTAGAGCCCCAGAGACCATCACTCCACCCCATACTAGCTGGTTTCTGGTAGCCGTAACCTCTCTATATCTCAGTTTTTCCATCTTTAAAACGGGGTCAGGACAAACCTACTTACCAGGCTCTTGCAAGGATTTAGTGAGGTAATACTGATAAAGTCCTTACGTAGTGCCTTGCACACTTATAAATAAATCATCGTAATAAAATCAATCGCAATTGACTTTCTGGAGGGAAAGGAAGCCTGAACTAGCAGGCAGAACGTCACCAGACTCTTGGTCTGGTGTTCGTTCTGTTTGAAAGCCCTCCTTATCCCTTAACCAATTATTAACAGGCCTCCTTTGTTTCTCTGGAATAAACATTTAAAAAACTAACTTGTTCCCAAACATTGAGGTGTTTTGTTGACTGTGGCTCTGTTTCTGTTTGCCCCAAGTGTCTCCTGTCCTAAACGTGTGTGGGGGGGGTGACTCTGCCATGGGAAAGGTCCTCTACAGTTGGCAGCATCTGCGGTCACACTGGGATGGGGCCCTTGGCACTGAAGGGACGATTGAAGCGGCCTCAAGAGTCCAGGGTTTCACTAGTCGGCCTGTGGCCAATGAGATGGATGCTTCCTTGCGTCTCACCTGAAGGCTCATAACAGTGAGGCGGCGGGCGTCGTCAGAGGGCGCGATGACCGGCACCAGGTAAGGACTTTCAGGGATGTGCTCGTCGTTGAACTTGATAGATACCTCATAGTTACCTGTGGGGACAGGAAAGTCCCATCATTTCAGAGATTCTGGGAAGGAGGTTCCAAAGCGGCCTCTGGCTTCCTTCCTGGGACTGAAATGCTTTCCAAGAGCCCCTGCCTCCCCGATGGCCATGGCTGGTTGGTTGGTTGGTTGGTTGAGGGCAGGTGACCTAGCTGAGGTTGAGCCAATATGATTCCCTTAGTTGGGCAAGGGCTGAGATCCTTTTTTTGTTTTTTAAAGATTTTATTTATTTGAGAGAGAGAGAGAGAGAGAGAGCATGCATGAGTCGGGGGAGGGGCAGAAGGAGGAGGAGACTTCGCCAAGCAGGGAGCCTAATCCCAGGACCCTGGGATCATGACCTGAGCCGAAGGCAGACACTTAACTGACTGAGCCACCCAGGTGCCCCAAGGGCCAAGATTCTTAACCTGGGTCCACAGGGCCTCCCTAAGGGCCTGTGTATAGAACTCAGGAGACCCAGGAAACTTGAATGGGATAAAAAATTACACCTTTACTTTCACTAACTTTAGGCTGAAATTTGGCACTTTCTTTAGACTGACTTTAGAAATGTCAACAAGAAACACTAGAAGTACACATTAGAAGTACTTGTGACTTTGTCACCAACAAAGATCACAGATATTTCATATAATGCATTATTTGTTTCAGGGGTACAGGTCTAAAGTCACAGATATTTTCATGTCACTTTACAGTTTTATATATACCTTGACATATCATTTACATTCACCTCTACTCTGAAATTTAGGTTGTTAACAGACCATCACCAAATCCTATGATTTAATGTATTCTGGAAAAATGTGTATATGTTACTGTGTTACACATTCCCTTGAAGATTTTGATAACTCCATTTTAACATAACTGATTTCTTTTATAATCCAGTGCATTTTATATGTTTCAAAACATTATCCTGAGAACAGTCCCTATAGGCTTTTTGCCAGATGCCCAAAAGAGTCCACGGCTCACAAAAGGTCAAGAACTGCTGCTTGAGGGAGCTCAGATGCTGAAGCCACTCCTCCAGAGCAGCCACAAAGCCAGTGGCCAAGGATGGGCAGAGAGGCTGGTCAGTAGGCAGAATAACAGGGCTGCATGAAAGCATGAAGCAGAGAGGCCAAGAGAGGACCAGGGAACCAGACTCCCTGCCCCCTTGAGGCCTGACTGGATTTCCTGCCATGGGTTTTCTAGGAGGCGCTCCCACGCACCCATATAGATAAACTCCTTTTTCAGTCGAGCTAGCTCGCCAGGCTTCCATTTCCTACAACCTAAGCATCCCCCAACAAGGAACATGTCCTCAGTTGGCCCGTGATTACATACCAGGCTCCTGGGCAATGTAAGACACACCGCACGATCCGTTTTTATGGTCATCGAATGTAATCTCGGCCTTACTGGGGCCTTCGACGGCAATGGACAAGCCACCAGCACCTGCTTCCCGGGTCCAGATGCTGAACTCGGCTGAAGCAAAGAAACACCTGGTTCGTGACCGAGCTCGGGACACACTCTCTTCTTGCTCACACACACGATGCTGGGTTATGTCTGCTCCCTTTTCTCTTTCTTTAAGCCCAAGCAGAGCCCCAAGGAAGGGCATCACTGATGTTTTTGAAGCATCACCCATGAGAACATGAAGTTCATGGGAAATCAGGCATCTCCAAACACACCCAACCGAGGCAGAAAAAGATGAGAATGCTCAGTTTTGTCCCTACAGATCTTCCCACCAGCAACGACCACTACCATTGGTTTTGTAGAATTCTAGCGTGTTCCACCGAATGTCAGCGCTGCAGGATGTTCTGCAAAGAGCTTCATTAGTCTGCATCCCTCTTAGATGCTCACATACACAGTCATTAAAGGCTCTGAGGGGTCCCTCAGTAAGAAACCTGTTTAGCTTTGGATAAGTGAGCAATTCCCAAACATGTGTAGCCACAGAAGCCTTGTTTTAAAGAATGCCCCTTATTACCACCATCAGAATCACACATGCCGAGAGTCAGTCTCTGGAACAGGGTGGAGAACGAGGAGTGCTCACACCGCCAGGCTCCTCTTGTTCTTCTCAAGTACCAAGCACCACCCCCCACCGCACGCTCACCTGGGACCCCTGCTTCTCCTCTTTCCAGGCCAGGGCCTCCCGCGCGGACCTTGTGGGCGCCCCCTTCGCCCAGCGGCCCCACGGTGAACTGGAAGGGGCTGCCGGTCACATGCTGGCCGCGGTACTTGACACTGACCGTGTGAACGCCCATCTCCTGGGGCACAAACCGGACACAGTGCGAGTTCTTCCCCACGGACACAATCTCTGCCTCGGTGATGTGGCCAGAGGGGCTGGTGACGTGGGCCGACATGTCGCTGCTGTTGATTTCTGAAAGGGGGCAGGAGTTTGGGGGGAGGGAGGGGGAGAGAGCAGAGTTAGGGTGAGGGACCAAGGCAGAGCAGGCCATGCAGGGCAAGCAGTGGAGGGCAAGGCGGGTGCAGCCTGGGGGGGTGTGGGGTGCTCAGGCTTTCTCCCGTTCCGGCGGGATGCCTACCCTCCTGTCTCCCTTGAACCCTGGGTGGCTGCAGCCACCACGGAGACGGCAGGGCCCCTCCAGCCACCCAGTGCAGAGAACGTTCTAGGGACAGTGACCCTACCCCACCGAGTACTTTTACAGTCTTCCTGGCTGGCCCTAATTCCACACAGCAGTTTCAAACCAGAGCCTGGAGCTGATAGTGACCGCAGGGAAATAAAGCCTCCAATAGCTTCGAGCTTTCTAAGCCAAAGGTGACACATGCCCATCTATCATGCTCAGAGGGGCTCTTTTCCATTGGGAGGTAAGGGCAGAAAATTCAAGAACCGTCACCCCGTACTTTCAAGAAGCCTCAGCATTTCTCTGAGGCAACAAGACAAAACGCATTTAGAGAAAAAGGTGAAACCCACGTTGGTCACAACTGCCAAGGGAAACCATGCGTGAGCCAAGCGTCGAGCAAGTCAAATACCAGAGGCCATGCTTTCAGAAAAGTGGCGCCTCCGGTCACCGACACCGGGACGGCAGACGGCGTCTGCTGCACCCGAGGCGCTCATGCCATGCCAGGGACCGTGCCCGCACTGACGTGGTGGAGACCGGTGCACCGCATGCGGGGTGACCACGTACTGCCATCACCTAGAGCCACCTGAAGCTGCACTCGCCAGCCCTACAACGACCTGGGCGGAGCAGCCATGACTTTGAGCCCTGAGGACAGAGAAAGGAAGGGCGGTTGAGGAGAGGGTGGCCCCACACGGCCTGGGTCCAGAGGACATCTGGAAGCTGATGAGCCGTCCTCCATTCTGACGACAGAGGCTCATTCAGGTAACGAGGGGGGAAAACGAGTCTCACCCAGAGTTAGCTGGCACCAAGAAGGACCCATCAGAGCAAAGAGGAGCCAGGAGCTAGAGAGACTTTAGGGAAAGAGTAACTGACCTGCTAGGTCCTCAGGAAACAGACAACTTGCAAAATGAGGAAAGTAAAGCAGATGAAAACACAGTCCATGTCACTAGTGACCCGAGAAATGAAACTGAAAACTGGGTTTTTCCATCGGATTGGTCAAAGTGAGAAGGAAACACAGTGCACCGGGCTGGTGGGGAAATGGAGAAACGGGCACCGATCCTTTATCACCAGGGCGGTCTGCCGAGGTGGGGCAGCAACCACAGCAGCCGAGCCGTCCCACCCCGGGGCGTCCATCCGACGTACAGACGGCCTGAGCACACGGTGAGAAGGTTACGGAGCACCGGGCGCCGGAATCCAGGGATGGAAATGAGCATACAAGGACTGAGACCATGCAGCGAAGGACAGTGCATCAGGACACGGAATGGAATCTGATGTAGTCATTAAAAACATGATGTGGAGGGGGCGCCTGGGTGGCTCACTCGGTTAAGCATCCGACTCTTGGTTCCGGCTCAAGTCACGATTTCAGGGTCGAGAGAGATCGAGCCCTGCATCGGGCTCCGCGCTCGGTGCGGAGTCTGCTTGTCCCTCTCCCTCTGCTCCTCCCCCTGCTTGCTCTCTCTCTCTCAAATAAATAAATGGATAAAATCCTTAAAAAAATAGGATGTGAAAGTATCATTTCTGAAGTCAGAAGATGCCCAGAATACATTATGTGAGAAGTGCACAAGTGTGATCAGAAAGCGAGCCCATGTGTTCATGAGGCTGGAGGCAATCAGGGTCCAGCTCTGTGCCTCACCTGTGAACCCACAACCTCCCTGGCTGACGGGAGATGAGGTGACACTTCCTTTCCCCAGTCTGGAACACCTGAACTTTTCATGATCACAGTGCATCATCTCTTTTTAAACATTTTTTTTTTTTTTAAAGATTTTATTTATTTATTTGACAGAGAGAGAGAGACAGCGAGAGAGGGAACACAAGCAGGGGGAGTGGGAGAGGGAGAAGCAGGCTCCCAGCCGAGCAGAGAGCCCGATGCGGGGCTCGCTCCCAGGACCTGGGATCATGACCTGAGCCGAAGGCAGACGCTGAACGACTGAGCCACCCAGGCGCCCCGCATCATCTCTTTTTAATAAGTGATTCTGTCTGGACACTGCAGTAATGAGGCCTTCCCCACATTCTCACGTGACCAGCGGTGCATCCACACAGGAAGAAGCCGCTGAGGACTGCGGAGGAGGCCAGGTGAGTAGACACGGGGCACGTTGGGAAAGAGGGGGAAAGTGGTGGTGGAGAAGCGTCCCCCTCTGCAGATCACACCTGAGCATCATCTGAAGACTATTTCGATTTTCTGTCCCCATGGAATCTGTGCAGCACAGCGTGTGCCAGCTTCTAGGCACAGGACCCTCAAAACCTGCACTCACGGTGATGGCTATCTATCTATCTGGCTATCTATCGATCGATCTATATCTGACACAGAGAGAGAGAGAGAGAGAGAGAGCATGAGCAGGGAAGGGGGGGAGCAGCAGAGGGAGAGGGAGAAGCAGGCTCCCCGCTGAGCACAGAGTCCTACGTGGGGCTCCATCCCAGGACCCTGGGATCATGACCTGAGCCGAAGGCAGACGCTTAACGGACTGAGCCACCCAGATGCCCCAAGGACGGCTCTTTACAGAAGGAACCTGGGCCACATTCAGACAGACCGAAGTGTCCATTTACACCATTCATGGCGAAAAGGCTGGATGTGGCCCACCCACCCAGTCTCCATTCTCATTATAGGGACGGAAGAGATGAATCGAATATTAGAAGGATGCCATTGGGCTGACACCTGTGAAATACTTCCAAATATTGGCATCGACAGGGCCAATTCTCCCACTGACATGACTCTATTCAACAGACAGTAAATTCAAATCTGAAAGCTTATCTGTCTTCCCCCCATGTGACACCATGAAACAATTTTCATCTGGAAGAAGAAAAAGGTCAGGTAAACAGTATTTTTTCTTGGATGGGGCTCTGTGAAAATAGTATGAAAAATATAAATACATACATTACTTACTTACAAGTCGTTACACCCACAGAGCACTTAGTATGTCTCCTAGGCCATACCCAGATACGGTTTCCAACGGTGCTCCCTGCCCTGACCCCTAAGCTCCTCATGCTCACCTGGGATTTTCAGGTTCAGGTCACAGATGCTCCCGACAGTGGCCACAGACGGGGCCCGACTGGTACGAGTGATGCTCTCCTTAACTCTCCCCTCCCCGCTGATCTTCACGGTAAACGGGCTCCCTGCAAGAACCGAGAAGGCCCTCGTGAGCAGCCCAGAGGCTGAGGCACGGCACTGACACAAAACCCAACCATCACATGGGGAGGGGGG